GTGTGTGTGTGTGTCTACCTGCAGCAGAGCAGACTGCATGGTTGGGTTGTGTAGGCCTCCGAGCGCCGCAGGGGAGGCTGAGGGAGAGAAGCCTGGCACCCCAGGGAAGGACAGCAAGCTGGGGAACGCGCTCCCTCCTGGGCCCTGAAGTCCACTGCTCAACCTGTAACAGAATAACTACTGTCAGACTGTAAACAACGTTATCTTAATGATAATTCTATACTATTCCCCATCACTACTATTCCTACTGGCTTTTACAACAAAATGCTACTAACAGTGCTTACAGATATTGTTTTTGAATGCAGTGAAGTATTACTCTGATCAAGGAACATATTAGGTGACTATGGGACAATAACTATTGTTTCTGTTGTTCTTTAAAGGAACTGTTCAACATTTGGGGAAATACGCGTGACAGAAAGTGAGTTGAAAAGCTTGATGTCACTCTCGTATTTGTCCATTTAGAAACAGCTAGCCTGGCTCTGTCCAGCAGTAACATACCAACACCTGTAAAGCTCACTAATTAATAAGTTATATATTGTTTATTTAATATGCATTTAATTCCCCATGTATAAACATTAAAAGTAGAATTTGCTTCCTCATTTAATAGCTCTTGCAAGGATATCACCTGCCTCCAGTGCCTCAAGCGTCAATAAAAGTAAATGTCAATAAAAGGTGAGCCTTGTGCTTGCAACACTTCAACGACAAGATAACATGTCAAATATATGGCTGACAGTTATCACCATGTAGAGTTGAACTCTTTGAGACAACACAAAGCAAAGTCTAGGTCTGTTTCCACTTAGCACATAAAAACCAAAGTGGAAAATTGATAGACGTGATTTATGATGCCATGTTCAGGGAAATGGAAACAAATGTCAATTTCTAATTACCCTAGACCCAATTATTTATAAAATACTGTTCTTACTAGAAATAAAATAGAACATTTAAATTAAGTTGCTGCTATGGCCTTTTCATGTAGACGTACAGTAAATAATATTGGCAAATCAATATGAAATCATTAGGTTTATTAGAGTATCCATATGACATGGCTTCGTTATAATGGGCAGTCGAAATGTTAAGAGCTCACATACCCAGGCTGGAAGTTGGAGCTGAAAGCAGATGCAAAGCCTGGTAAAACTGGCGATGAAGATGGAACTCCAGCTGCGGCCGCTGCTGCCGCCGCTGCGGCTGCCTGCAGTGGTGCCACCGACGCTACTGACGATGGAGTGGCCCCTGGCAGACCCATGAATGAAGACAACACAGGGCTCCCAGCACCATGCCCTCCTGAAACTCCCAACCCTGGGAAGGCACCGGGGCTATGGCCTGGCTGAAGGCCTGAGAATATAGAGGAGGCAGAGGTGAGGCCCAGACCGAAAGGAGAGGCTGCACTGACGGCAGCGTTGGGAGCCAGGCCTTGGTAGATGGAGGTTTGTGGATGGTTAGAAATGTTGCTGGTGGGAGGCATGGCGGGCATGGATGCAGACATTGTGGAAGGAGGGAGAGAGGAAGAAAGGGAGGAAAAGGGGGACAGACCAGGATAATGAGAGGGTGCTGGGCTAGAGGACAGAGCTTGGAGGCCGGGGATTCCGACAGGACTAGAGAGAGAGACTTGAGGAGAACCTGAGGGGTGTGCCAGGGCGAAGGAACGTGCCAGAGCAGCCTGCGCAGAACCCGGCACCACCAGAGAGCTAACAGACGGTGTTCCAGAGCGGGAGGTGCCCTTAAAGGCAGAGGGCACAGGGCTGTTACTGCCACTGTTACAACCCCCAGTGTGTCGGTTCAGGACTCCAGCCGCAGCCATGGCGGCCTGAACCTGCGCAGAATGAACCGGGGAGGGTTTGGGACTGAGACCTGGGGTGGAACAGCTCGGAATAACTGGAGTGGATGATCCAGATGGGGTGTAACTTCGGATCACTGACCCAGGGGGGTTACCTGCTTGTGGGTGTATGCCAGGGTGGGTGTGTCCTGACTGGTGGTCTGTGGAAAAAACCTTCTGCTGAGTTGAGCCCATGGAGTTCGTCGTCTGACTTAAGGTGTCAGTGATGCCGCGGGAGGTAGCAGGGGTGCCTGGTCGAGAAACGACATGGAAGGGGGAAGAGGAGAAGCTACCCGGGACAGGAGTTCCACAAGGAGTGCCTGAAGGGGTGTGGGCTTTAATGACAGATGAGGGTGTAGGTGTAGCATGGCCACTGGGGGTGTGTGGACCTGCTTTGATCACAGAGGGGGATGGAGCGGGGGATGGAGAGGGGGCACTGGGGTTGTGAGAGGGCACCATGCCGGGGAAAACCGGTGTGATCGGGGTTGTGGGAGTCGGCTGAGCGGGAGAAGCGTGGGGTGGGACAGGGGTAGAAGGCGTGGACCCATGAGGAATAAGGAGGGGCCCGCTGTTGACTCCAGGTGTGGTGTTCTGCGGATTGCCTGGTTTGGCGTAACCTGGAGGCAGAAAAAGATCAGAGTTGGTGAAAAGGGTCATTTGAAATCATGACTACTATTAACTTATGTTTTAAATAGCACCAGTAGTTACATTGAATGATTCATGATTCATTCATTCATGATTGTTTTTTTCTGGTGAGTAGTGTTATTGTTTAATACAAATTTCATTCCAGGACACAGGCAGTACAGGTTAAAACCCAACAAACTATTGTAGAAGAGGCAAACCACTCACATCTAAAAAAAAAGGGAGAGGAGAGACACAGCAAGGAGAAATAGCCAGAGAGCATCCCTGCGTGCAACTTATTACTTTGTAAATTCCAACAATTTTCAAGATTGGAATATGTTTTCTTTTTACCTTTGGGGAAATGTTCAAGTACCTGTTTTGGGTTGATAACCTCAAATTAACTGTCATCGTACACTTTTCCCTTCTCAAGACTGCTTTGGACATTTGTCAATTTAATCAAACTTGAGGCATCTTTGTTCTTACGACCACATACAGCATCTCCCCAAAGGCCCTAAAAGATGTATTTCAACTGTGAAAACGGATGAGACAGTGCGTTCGAAAAATAAGTTATCTTAAGCGATGCATGTTAAATGCCAGCACATAGCATGATTGTAGAAAGAAAAAGATGAATCAATTAGTTTGAGGCTATTCCAAGTCCAGTCAATCAAAGTGCCGTCCTCACAATTCACCAAAACATACCTCTACAATGACTGACCAGAAAACAGAAGTACCAGCACATTGTATTGCAATACGATACAACAGCCTTGAAAAAAACACACGTTTTTGGCTGTATTTCACTAGAATTTTCCATTTTGTCTACTTCATCTACATATTCAAGAAGAAAATAGTAAAAATACTGTAATAAATCAAATATAACAGAAATGTGGTTGCATTGGATATAATGCAATTTAATATCTCAAGAATGATCACAGAATTGTTGAATCGACATCTCTCCAACTCCAACTACATGAAAGCGATCCAACACACAGCTGTTCTATTCGGGAGGGGTGTGTGTATGTTTCTGGTCACTCAGTGTACTCCAACTGAGGGAAGAAGCACATTCTTCACCTGATAAAGGCTTTAAGCTTGAGAAGTGCGAGTAAGCAGGTAGTTAGGCAGCAAGCTTCAAGAAGTATCTATTTGCTGTCACAAACACACACGTGCGCACACTCGAATCATACCTGCTACTTTGTGGGTGGAGCTGTAGGGGGGAGGGGGCACGTTGGCTGTTATAACCCCTCCCATAGAAACAAGGCCTGCGTTGTTGTACGCACCTGAGTAGCAGTTGCAAATATTACCACACACTCATACATGCACACAAACGTAAGAATCACCCCACCACTAACTATATCTCAACCAGTCCCAAACTGAAGTAAAAAACATGCTTGACTGTACCGACAACCAAAGTAGAATTATTCATTCCTCAATTGTCTATCTTTCATATGTGTTTTCTTTACATTGAAGTCATATGCAGTTGTATTACTGTAGAAGGCAGGGAAAGGTACTGTAAGGGTGAGTGTGTGTGGAAGTGGATTGTTTCTTACTTGGTGCGATGGTAGCATGGGGTCGACACGGTGGTATAGGGTAGGGCACAGGCCGATGAGGGTTGTAGGTTGAAGGAAACTTTCAAAAAACAAAGACATAAAACACACTGATCATCCAAATTTTGTCTATTTAGAATCTGTAATGTTTTTTTTTTATAGGCTAACTAACATGTTGAATTCATTGAGGGTGACACTGAACTGTGAGTGAAAACCTAAAAAGACAAATATGGAGGAAACACTCCTCTGTATGGTGATTTAAAACCCAAATGAGGTATTTCTGTGCAGCAATTGGTGCACCGGTTTTTTGTAATAGTCCTGACATATTCCAAGATGATTATGCTTATATAAAAATAGTGGAAGATTTTAATGAATACCAGAAGTCAAACATCTTTCAACACCTCATAAATCACCAGAACATTTGCATTATATATAAATAGCTGGAGTACAGTGTGTTTTTTCAAATGTCTTACATCTAAATATGAAGGTGTGTATGCATTTATTCTGCTTACGCCCTCTGCTGTACAGTCTTTACTCCACCTTGGTCATTAGCTTATATAACTTGACATGTAGGTTTTTTTCTTATCATGTCTAGGTAACGTAATTAGTCATGTGAGGCTTCATCACTCAGTCATGAGATTTCTCTGGGGCATCCTGGCACTATTGCAACATCCCAGTCAGTAATTCTCCATTCTAGTGCTTACAGGTTTGAATGGTCCAGTTATCCGAGAAGCAATTCCTTTCATCTCCAGATTGTTAGATGTGTCATCTTTCTTCTCGCCTTCCTTCTTTACTGGAGGGATTCCCTGTGATTTGAAAAATTCCACGGTCAGGCTTGTTTTGCGCAGATAAAAAAATCCAGAAAACCCTCTAGAGGGCTGAACACGTGCCACGTTTTTAGTTTTTTACTTTAATTAAAATGACAAGACAAAGAAATAAACTCAGTTCTCTACTTCAACCCAATTTAATTATTTCAACCAGTGAGAAATCACCAGCAATCTTCTTTAATAGTATTCAGATTTACACAATGTGTTTATACTAACTTTATACTATTCACTTTGTAAATTATAAAAAACGTAGTATATAGTATTCAAAGTGAAATATCAAACATTGTTTAGGGGAAGTCCCCTTTTGTATTTTGTCCACAGACAGTGCAGAAGATCAGATAAAATCTGAACTTAGTTCTGTTTACTAATATCCGAAGACATGGAGATGGAACAGGTTAAACTACAGGTACCTACATACCAAAGACATAGAGACCTGCACATACTTACAGGAAATGTGCCACTGACCAGGCTGGGTCTGCCTTTAGGGTATGGGTTTCCTGGTATTATACCACAGGAGGAGATCATGGCTACAGGAGCCTTGCAGCCAACCTTACACACCTAGTGAGACAGAAGTTGTATTATTCTAGAAATTGTGTGTGCTGCATGCATTAAAAGGTATTTAGCTCATATACCCATTATTATGGATGTCGAAGATAATGCATTAAAACATGCAGTCCCCAATTTTAAAAGCTTTACTCTACATTGCTTTTCTGTTTTCTTCAAATTGCATCAATTGCTTGCTTGACTCCACGAGGTCTTTTGATACAAAGACAAACACATAAGATTAGCAAGTAGTCTGTCTATAGTAAGCTAGGTAAAGGTGAACTTACCTGCTCCAGTATCCTGCGAGCACGCTTCTTCTCCGACAAGTGTATGCGAAACAGATCCTCCACAGGACGATAATTCTGAGCATCTGAAATATTCCTGTGTGGGAACAGAAATCCAATATTTAAAGACCAACCAGTTAATCTAACAGCTCCACAACTGACTGAACCAGTCTGAAACAGGCTCATATGATAATACAACATTTGACAAACATTGTTTTACATTTTCAAAATGTACTCACAAAGCTATTAGTTCCAGGACAATCAGTCTGTCCTTGGAGAAGGTGAAGCAATTCAGGATATTTGCAACTTTGGTTGTAGGGATTGCAACCATTTTCTAAGGGCAAAAGAAGGAGAGACATGTTTTATTAACACTATGAACATACACATGACAGGGAAAGGTGGCATTTTCTATCTATTTTTAGCTAAATATAAAGATACAAAAATATTTACAAATGCAAACCATGAACTTTAAAACAGGTGTTACTCACATGCTGCAGAGCTTTAACTGCTTTAATCTGTGGCTCTGCCCATGAGAAGTACTTCAGTATCTCCATCACCTGCAGATGTTCAACACAACGTTACAATTTGCAATGAGGGCTTAGGGTTAGGGTTACAAGTATTTTTATTTTTTTTTATATTTTTTTGGCCTTTGGATAGTAACAGGTTTAGATAGACAGGAAAGGGGGGTTATAGTTTTCTGTTGCTACTTTTAAG